AAATTCGGCATTACGTAAGCGACGACAATCGTTTAAGGTCGACGATTTGATTATGAGTGTTAGCAGTCAAGAAAAAGCTAAATGTATTTTTGAAATTGCAACCGAGATAAAGATGCTAATTTTAACTTACAGAAATTCGATACAAATGACGCTGTGATATTCAGTATAGTTGGGAATAAACAAGGCATAATAAAGCGAAAAGGTTTTAGGAATAAATATCTGCACCGTTAGCGATGAAATTAGCGTTGACGTAATGAACAATTTATACTATTAAAGAAGCAAACCATATGGAAGGAGAAAACGGATTTTCAAGGGGCGAAATTCTAAACAATTTTCAATTTTCGCAAGATGAACTGAGTATTTTAGGTGAAATTAGTATTAGATGTCTGCCACATTCCAGCGAATCAATAAAAGACGTTCACATTTTCCAGCTTTTGGAGAAGTGGCATACGTTTGACACATAACAAAAAATGATGAGATAACAACAAATTTGAGATGTTTCAAAAATAGCCTAAGTTCAATGAAACAAGAGAGTAGAGAAGTCTCCCTTGCATCTTTTTTTCTTAACTGCAGCTTTGGAAGCTGCAAGACTAAAGCCATTTCTATTAAATTCTTTAGATTTTAAAGTAAACTCTACTATCCTGTGGATAGATTCGCTTATAATTTTAAGCAGAATAAATGGCAAAGGTAAGCAGTCAAAACCACCCACCAGTTTAACTAATGTCTATGATTCGAGACACTGCAACGTATGAAACCAAACGAATCAGTTAAATCCCAAATAAGGACACACGGGCCCTTGTTGTTTAGCGAAAGTGACTGGTCAGAACGAAAGTTTATTGAAAAAGCATTAAATTTTTAGGTGAACCTCCCAGAAGATGAAGTTGAAATACACACTCCTCTTATTGAGAAGTTTAGTGAAATAATACAATTTCTGCGGACTAAAGCTTACGTATTTGATTTATACGGCGAATTAGAACTTCATTAAGAGCGAATGTAGAAAAGAAAACAAATAACGAACTTGAAAATCTTACATCGATTAAATTACAAGCGGAAATCTATTCAATTAAATGTGAACAAATGCTATACTACAGTAAAGAAATAACTGCTTCGGAAGAAAATAAAAAAATTAGCAAAGAAACACAATTAAAGATTTGTTGAAAGCTGGTTGTACGCTACCTGAAGGTGAATTTTGCACTGACATGAGAAATATAATCATTTTACCGATAATATCATATTTGAGTAAATTTACAGTGTTGTACGTTTATAGGAAAACACATCACGGCGGTTCTTCAGTGGTATTAGCGTTCACTCGGGCCAAATACTGGATTGTACAGACACGACAATTGATAAAGCGAATTCTCCAGCATTACTTTGCTTGCGTACGTTTTTATGGAGAGTACAATGGAAACATTGAGTGTATTATCTAGCGAACGTGTAGCTACTAGCAAACCTTTCGAAACTCCAAGCATTGATTTTGCTAGTCCTCTTTATACAGCAGCTGAAGATAATAAAGTGAAAAAAGTTGTACATTGTACCCTTTATTTGTGTAGCCATACGAGCTGTTCATGTAGAATTGGTTGAGGACATGAGTACGAAAAGTTGTCTACATGGTTTTTTAAAATTCACTGCAAGAAGAGGTGCGCCAGGTGTAACTATTTCAAAGAACGCAAAAACTTTTAAAAGAGTTGACTTAGAACTTAGAAAACTTGAAAAGTTGTTAAAAGTACGAAGTACAAAACATGGCGACTAACCAAAATATTACATGGAAATTTATTCCAGAACGAGCAGCATGTTGGCATGGATTTTTCGAGCGTCTTGCGACAAACATGAAAAATTGTTTAAAATCGTTTAAAGTTGTTTTCAGAAAACCTAACAACACTTTTAGCAGAAGTCGACAGTATTGCGAATGCCCGACCAATTACACATGTTACCAGCCATTGTAACGATTTGGAAGCTTTAAGCTTATCTCATTTTATAACGAATTGTAAATGTATCTTATACTCCTTGATTAAAAATTACTTGAAGCGTTGGCGTAACATATACTTATGTCAACTAAAATGAATGCGACGTACCAAGACTGAAATGACCGGGTAAGAGGCTGTGACGTCCGACTACAAAATCAACAAGTCTTGAAGAGGTCTGTACAACCATTGCATCCCTTAGAGAAGTAGAGAAAGTATAGTACTTGAAAGTAGAAAATAATGTATAATATTCCGTTCATTTTACTTACTCCATGTTGTCTTTTAATCTTATTTATTACTTACTTATTGAAAGTTAATATTAAATCAATAAGTTAGTATTGACTAATTTCCGAAGCGTAAAAGTCCACGACTAGGGTTGAAAGTGTTAAGTATACAATGCTAACAAATTTTCTTCAGGGTGTTTAGTGCATCAACATTGCTCATCTATATCACTGCTCCTTACAAAATATTACGGCGTTGTAACCACCTACTCTATTTATTTGTCCATCAATAATAATTTTGGACCTATTCGCAATACTAACTATTTTAACGCTCTCAAGTGGCGACGACACCTTTGGTAGACCTCACCTGAATTGTGAAATTATTAAGCATTTTCGGTCAACTACATTCTATGTGTTTACTAACATTCCATATAAACCTTTAAAATTTTTGTCGTACGACTTCCTTTAAAGAGAATAATTCCAGACTGCAATGTATATAGAAATGACTTATCATAACAGCGAAGCTCACATTGAAGTAGTCTACCTTCCTAAAAGAGGCGAAACATTTTTCGAAAAATTGGATGTGGATTTGTTACAGCTCTAATACTTTTGTAGATAATTTCAATTATGATTTATTTCAGCCTTCCAAATTATTCGATCTCCAATCCCTCTACTACCGTAATGGGTTATCCTATAGACATAGCTTCTTACTAACCCACATCCATCCTCAACATCAATCTATACCCTTTATCTATTACTGCTAGTGCTGGTAAAAGAATTATTCCTGCTATATGTTATCACGCCATAATTTTTCTTAGTCTCTCTATTAAAGTAGATTGCATTGGTTACGTTAGCTTTTTCGCTAATTACAGTAGAGCAGGTATAAATACCATTATTAGCTACTGACGGCATGAGATTTTTATACCTACTTGTGGTATAGGATATATTAAACTTGTTCGGACGTATGTAACACCGAGGAGGGCTTAAGATAGACCCGCCTTTTATTATACCGAATGATTGAGAATCATTTTTTAAGTCGTTCTGAACTTATCTGTTCATGTATTTTTGTGTTCGAGCTATAGGTCACATTTTTTTATATTTTGTTGTAATTTGGTACACTGACGTGCTTTGACGCAAGAACAAACGCAATTAAAAACTGTTTGGTTATATCCACTTTTTCGACCACTCCCCATAAAAAAATGCTTTCAAAGTTGTTGGACAAAAGTAGTCTTTCAACATTCTAAATTGAGTCGTATTCAACATTCTAAATTCAGTAGTATTCAACAACCTAAATTGATACGAAAAATTTAGTTCGGCGGGAGCAATTTACAATCGTAAAACCGTTTCTACGAAAACTGAAAAAAAAGGCAAAAAGGTTTAATATCCAATATTTCATGGTGAGAATTAGTTCATAGTAACATATTGACATACAAATCAGACTTACCCAATTTGGAGTGCATAGATCTATATTTTAGATACCACCGCATATAATGATTCCAATGAAATGTAAGCCTAAAGACACCTAACTGTTGATGTTTTATGATGAACATTTGTCCATGATAGTAATTTGACATAAAAATTTACTGAACCAAATTTGAGCCAGATGGATCTACTCTTTGGACCCCATTCGACATAAGATTTCTCAGGAATAGTAAACTCTTCAGAAAAAGCTCTAATTTTAATGCTTCATGATGAAAATTGGTCCATAGTAACGGGAGGAATTTAGATCTCGTAGAGCTATTTTCTAGACTCCAACATATATGGGAATTATCATGAAACGCAAGCCCTTATATGGAGATAAAGTCTAATTAACAGTTTTTTATGATGGGGACTAAAAATAATAACATTTTTAGAAAATAAATTAGGAGTGTTAAATTTTGATTACGCCATGCGACGTTTTGGGCGTTCTCCAATATGTGGACTTTCACAAAAAGTAGGCCTTTTCATGAAAATAATGTGTAATTTTTGATGTTCTATTAAATGAGTGAATAACTGTACTAGACAAAATGGTATAGGGTGTCGAATGGGCAGCTTTGTCCGACTTTAGTGTTGTTACTTGTTCTTTCTTACATTTGACCAACTGTGTAAATTATCAATTGAACTTCTGATATGATTTACTTCACGATCTTCTATATTTTATTCCTAATTCTATCACTAAATTCTGGTCAGTGGCTTCACTTTCGGGAGATTGCGTACGCACGCATAGTTAAAGACATAGCATATCAACACTGCGCTCAACATTGAAATAACGATAATTGGCAGACTTATTGTAGGCTAAGCAACCGAACGAAGACTCTTATCAATTAAAAAAAAATTCTATTCCAAGACCTTATTTTTCCTATGCCGATGACATTTTCTTCCTTTTAAACCCTAATCGATTCTTTCGAAACAAAATTAAGCGAACGTCTTGCAAAAATTAGTAATTGGATACTCAACAGTTTTTTCATCTTTAACGAAGACACATCTAAAGCCGTTATTTTCAAGCATCACACAAATAACGGCGTCAGATTTAATGTTAATATATATTATATATATATTGAATTCATGCAGTTTACACAATGTCTCGGAATACGACTCGAAAACAAATTGACCTTTAGCTGCCTTATGGATAATGTTATCGTAAAAGATTGTTCTCTTCCAAGTGTTATAAGCTTGATTTCTGAATCATCATTTAATTGTGAAAATATTTGCACACTAAAAAAGTGTATAACTATGTGCGGATTTGTTCTTTATAAGCTTTGTAGTTAGAAAATAAATAAGTTGAAAATTAAATGGTGTCGAATTCTCGCCTAACAAAGAGAAACCACAGATGCAGTCAGATATGGCATTGATGTAGTATATGTATTGAGCTTAAATAACTACGTAGCTGTAGTCATTTAGGCTCATTATTGACAAACACGCAATATAACAAATACCTTCGGCGAATAATCGGTTGCCAAATCAACAGCTGTGCATGCGCAGCAGTATGTAAAATTTGCTAAATTTTTTGAATAGAAAAACGACATGTACATGAGTGTTGTAGAGTCTTTGTAGTATCACTGATTTTTTTATGATGAGAAAAATGAGCTGTCCGGATGATTCGAATTTGAAAGCGCTCATACGTATTTATAAATTTTATATCGTGTCGATTGTTTATAGTATCCTGAACAGACATGTTAGACTTCAAGTTACAGACACAACGCAAAAGTCTTCAATGTCGATAGGAACCGAAGGAACGGTACTTTTGGATGTAACTTGTGATGCGTTAAGGGCAGAAACAGTTGAGTTACAGTTATTGTTTAAGATCGTCTAACAAGCAAATGGTAGTTCGAAATGGATATCATAAGCATTACAAGAAGTATGTTATTTTTACTTTTGAAGTGTTGTTAAGACATTATATCATAAAATTAACGTAAGTATTTCTGCTTAAAATAGTAAGCTTATGCGTCAATCACGCTTATGTTGTTCGTTTTCTAGAACATTCACATCTTCCGCACTTCTGAACTGATGATTACAGATCACATTTGAAAATCGGCTAGATACTCTCGGAAACACATTTTCTCGGTTTGACGGTATTAAATGAAAAAATGATTGCGATTCGTTTATTTATAAATACAGCCTTTTTCCGAAATATGAAACTTACAAAAAGCAATGCAAAATCAGCGGCGAGCGTAGAGTGGAGCAGCTACTAACGGTCATGCACACCTACTTGAAAAGCCACTAACAAAGCGCTACGAACAGTTACTGTGGTGGTACCCCACACGATTCTGTTTAAACAACATTCTCTTCATATAACATATTTGGTTTTTTTTTTATATATATATAAGAGAGATATAAGAGATTGTCAATTAGTTTTTAATAAATGTTCATTCTAACTTGCAGCTTATATGATGAAACATCAAAAAAAAATTAATTTTATAAAAAATAGCCTTAATTGAAAAATTAAAATTGCGTTTAACAGACTTATGCCCGCAGGTACGAAAATCGTTAAAGGGGTGAAGATTAGTTCGAATTTAACTTACAGAGACCATATCCCCCATATCGTTTTACTTGCAAGCATATTCCATCCAAATTGGAAATGGTGATTTTTATCGACACCTCATGAATCTATATGAGCATACTTTTCAAACAAGCTAAGCAAATTCAAATTCACCTTCTAGGAACTATTTTTTAAAAAGTTTTTGAAAATTTGGTACGTTAGCAAAAAACGGCTATGGAAAAACACTCAAGTTTGAGACTCTAGCGCGGCTAAATTAGAAAATGTCAACAAGGTTCACCTACATCACGTGAATCGATAGAAAATACCTTTCGAATGAACAAAAAAAAATCGAACCTTTAGTTAGTGACGAAAATAACACTTGTCGTACTAACATTAACAGAGAAAAAAATTATTTCTTTCTTAACAGATGAAAATTTGTTTTTTTCTGTAAATGACGTACACGCTATAGTGCTCTTGAAAAGAATGAAATTATTTGGCGGTTTCTTCCGTCCATGGCCTATAAGTCAAAGGGAAGGCAGAGAGGCAGAAAAAGAGACAGAGCGAGAGAGAGTTTAACAGTAGAGTTTTGTAAATAACTGAAAAAGTTTAAGAATCTTTAACAATGTTTGTGTTGTTTATTCATTATACCTTTTCGGACGTTTATCGGTACCTATGTCGCTTCTACGCTGTCTACGAAAATGTTGGTTAAACTGTGAAGAGAAAGACTGTATTTGCATCGTGCATCATGCTCCCGCTTTCAATATACAATTTGCTTTCGTGTAATGCGAGTATATAGTTCCCAATACGTCATAACACCAATGAAAATTCTACACAAAATTCTAATTTCGCTGTGTTCATTTGCATTGATACACAAAACACCGAGAGGTCATGACGTATTTATGAATAGATAACATAGTCATGTGCTTAATACTTCGAGCACCAAATGATTTTCAAGTGATCATTTAAATTTTTAGTAAAAATAAAGAAACTGTTGAATTAAAGTTTATCGCCACTTATTTCTATATGGGAAATATTGTTGTTCGCTTTATTATTTGTATTTTTCTTCAAAAACTCGCTTTTGTAGAATTTTTTTGCGCTATGCTAGTATTTATGTAAACAAAATTTAACGATATGGTCAAGTTTTCAAACCATATGATTTCACTGCAGTTCATATGCAATCATTGTGAGCGCGCTATACCGAAATAGTGTTATTTTGTACAAATTATTTACATAGGGCAACATATATGAAAGCAATCTAGTCGCTATTGTATTCCATAGCACGTTTAAATTTAACAAACATTTCTTTTCAAAATATGGGCGTTATGATTCGAAGGCAGAAATGGTTCATCTTGAATTAGCAACAATTAAAACAATTTTTTTTTTTTTTTTTTTTTTGTTACAGTTTTTATATGAAGGAGCTTTACAAGTGAAATTCTGCATGGCCACTTGCATATATGTTGCGTGTAGATTGTATTTACTGATACCTTATCCACTATATGCTACGAAAATTAAGGTTTAAAACCTCCTTAATCCTAAATAATCATCCCCCAAAACTTGTCCCGATTTGTTTTCAATTTTTTTTTGTTCAACGGTATATAATATAGGGCATAAAGTTTACAAACGAATTACCTGAGAGTTGTTAATAACGGTGTTGCAATAGTAGTTAAACTTGGTACGTTGCTATTGTCTGGAATACTTCGTTTTGTAGTTGAGGTTGTACCATAAGCAACCTTAATTAATACAGCAGCTAAACTTCGTTCTAGGCTGTCCAATTTTTCCAAATATACGCTGCCAGACACCGGCGACACAATCGTACCCTTGTGTGACGAAAAGGAACTCAAACTCCCATTCAAGTGAGAATTAATGTCGTCAGAATATACTTTAATTTTTGGTTTATTACTGTTACTGTAATTTCTACTGTATGATATTAAATCACTTGTACTATCTGGAGCCAACAACGCTAAATCGCTCCTCGTAAAATTTGTGTCTAATAAACTAGCGTGTGTCCCACGCACAACTTGAGTTAACATGAGTAACATTAATAGCATCAAGTGTAGTAATTTGTGAATTTTCTGTACGCATTGAAAAAATGACCACAGTGAAGCATTCCTTGCTTTACACATCGTCGTCAGTGATGTTGAACGCCTCCAATTTACGATTTTAGCACGTAACACGTTACATCTTCTGTTACTTATTATATCTCTGGCTTCATCAAAATCAAGTGGTTCGTAAGTGATATGACAGTCCAACATCGCATATTCGATTTCAGATTCCTCGCGGGCAAAGCATTTAGTTGATATAATAAAATCTTTTAGAATATTGAAACAAAAACTCCAAATGCCTTTGAAAATTGTGAAAGAAAATGATTGCTTTCTTGCCATTTTCGCAATAGATTCATCACAGACAGTATTCGCATACAAGCAAACTTCTTCGTGTCTACTTTTTAATCGAGCATAATAACGTCGTCTTTGCTGCTGCCACCGATTCAAACCTTGGGTCATATAGTTATTTTCTGCTGTATACGGACTTTTAAGTTCACATTTGTCACTATTACCACTTTCGTACCTTTTAGGACTACATACCAAAATCGCGGCGCGGGAAATTTTATTTACATTTCCAACACCGCGAAACTCCATTGCAGATGTCAACACTTTCTCCTTACAGTCTCTCTCATAAAAACACAAGGTAGATTCCATCAACAAACGATTAAGTGAACACTCATTCATTTATGAAGATAGCCTTATTATTTTTATTTCTCGTTGCAGTTTTGTTAACAAATCGAAGTAAAGTAAAATTCTGTAAATAAATTCTTTATGATGATTGAGTAAATGAAGAACTTAGTATTAATATGCGACGGGTGCAGGGAATAACAGGAAAGGATACGGAATAGTGTAACCTTCATTTTTTCTATGATCGATGTTGACACAAATATTCTAAAAATAGAAAAAAAATATTAAATTCAGCAATGTAATAACACTTGCTATGTAAAAATAAGAAACTAAAATTTTTTTTTAATTTCTGGAATATTTTTAACTGCTAGAAACTGCAACAATTGTCTTATATGAAATCTCTTACTAAGGTCACAATTTCTGATGCTAGGAGGATTTATAATTGCAAAAAATTGATGCAATATACATTGATCTAAATATTTTCCATTATTTTCTACAAAATTTTGCCATATTTCCTGCAAGATGGCGATATCGTCTCAAAGGAAATTATATTGGTTTAGGAACGATCCAATCATCGACTTTGCAGAGCCTCGTGCCAGCCAAGCCATGTTAAAACAAGTACTAAACGGAAGGCGTCATGTCTGATAAGTACACTGGCGGTGGCAGAACTACCTACTCGAGCCGCAAGAGTCTATCCCTGGGAGACTCTTACAACAATTGGCTAATATAGCATTTTCAGTCAATTTACGAGGTACCAATTTTTCCTCCGTTCGGATCGTTCGCATCGCATGTAAACGTCTAGGAAAAATTTATTCATCAATTGCTAAGCTCTTCGAAAGTTTTTTGAGAGTTTGACTTTGTCCCGTAAGTCTTGTAAATCATTGTTGTTGAACTTGTTTGGTTCTTCAGGCCGTTTTTTGTCATTGATATCAAAATCATCACTTTTACATCGTTAAAATCAAAACTGACACTTGGGGTATGATGGGACAGCATCAGCATTCTAAAATATCACAATATCAGTGCATCTAGAATATTGGTTTTAAACCAATTTTTAATAATAAGAATAAAATTGTCTTTACCCTTATAGATGTGATAAACCAAGTTCGTCATAAAATGAAAAACATACCCTGCGATGTACATTTCCTCGATTTTGCGAAGGCAATTCGTACGCGTATAAGTAGCATGACCATTGCCATCACACTTATTAACATATCGCGTTGTCGATCAGAACAGTTTAATATATATAAATAATTATATATTATTCGTTATCATATAGTCAAACATTACCCACATCAAAAATTTAACCGTAAACATACAAGTTTGAGAAACTTTAAACATATTATTATTATTATCAGAGAATAAATTCTAAGACTAAAGTCTTAAAGCACTAGCATATCTAAGGCTTTTGGCTTTATTAAAAACTCCACCGGACTTGAGATTTGAACCCACGGCCATTGAGTTGTAGTCGAGACTCTTGCCCACTCGGCCACTAAGGCGGATAACTAATAACAATTCATTTTTTATAATGTATTAAACGCGTTAATTCAGTAAGAAAAGTCATGTTAATATACTGATGGGTTGACTATCGCTGGACCTATAGATACGTTTAGCATTATCAGCATGCATGCGAGAGTCAGCGAGAGTGTTTTCAACTAAGTCATTTATAAAGAAGACAAAACAGGACCAAAATGAATATCTTGAAAAAATCGAGAGTGTATGACGAGCTATTTCCATGATACATTATTAAACAGATTATCAGGGTTAGATAAGAGCATACCAATTTCACAAAATGTTCATTGAAGCCAACGTTCTCCAATTGAGTTAGACGTATGTAGTTAGTGACTGACCTTATCAGCAGACTTGCGGAAATCAGTGTATGTTATATCCGTTTGTTTTCCATCGTTAAAGGTTTCATTAATTATTGATTTATTTATTTATTTTAATCATTTACATGTATTCAGAAAACAATACAAAGCTCTTCAAGAGCCAATTTAATGTATTGAACTAACTGCAGCTAACGCATATACAATTCGCAATGAACCGCTTAAGTTTAAATTTAATACTACGTATATACAAATAATAATATTGTAAACTTCGCCATAAGAGAATAAAAGTTTAATAAGCACAAACGCAGCATATAAAGTGCATATCGCTTGAATTAATTAATAAATCCACTTATCCAATAACAAACTAAAAATAATTACGGTTTACCGCTGACACTTTACAATTTAAAATTAGTAGAATGCCCCATACAGTTCGCCGTAAGCTATTTGGGTCCCAATCCATAGAAAATTGTTTCGATAATAAGATTAAGCAATAAGTCCCATTGTGGTAGCATTTCTTATTTTTTCTTCTATTTATTTATTTATTCTTTTCTTTTTTTTTTTGAGCATCGCTAACAGATCTTAGGTAACAGCATGTTACCTACTCTCACAATCCAGTGTATTAGGAAAATACACCCTCCACTAAATTAAGCGAATGACATATTATCCACTATACAACTGTGGTAAGATACCTAAAAGGCTTAACCCGAAAAGCGTTTCCAATGTGCGAAAAAATACATTAGTCTAGCGGTAAGTAGTTCCAGTAAAGCGCTACACAGACCACAAAATAAAGTCTCAATTCAATTACATCTAATCAAAGGTGTAGAGACCTGTGGATTTCCAATGGAATTCATAAAAATAAATTCAGAGCATAGATTAAGAGACAGGCCACATTTAACTGCTGAATAAAAATGCACAAAACCACACCATAATGAAAATGTTGCGAAAGTATATCCCAAGAACTCCTTAACATACTCAGGCACATGCTCTCTGCCACGTAAACCATAAACATAGCGTACCAAAGAATTAACAATTTGACTAATCCTCAAAAAGTTACCTGCAGTAGTACCAGCAAGCACTTACAGCCGATATAGAGCTTGTTTCATCAATAGAGCATGGGCAAGTCTGTATTTAATCCACTGCGGTAAATAGGTACTATTGGAATAAATAGACTGTGAGGTACCCACAGCCTTTCCATGAATGAATTCCATATGTTTCGCAAAGGTGAGGTTATTATCAATATATATACCTAACCACTTATGTAAGTCCACAATTTCAGTACCTTAGCCTTAGGCTTAGCCCTAGATTTCTTCGGCTTATTATTATTATTATTATAATTTTAGACTAATGAAATAAATTCCTTGACTAAAAAAATAAGACATTGAGCACTAGCAACACAGGCTGTTGGCTCTAATTTAAATAAATGTACATTAGATAATGAGCTTAGTAGTATTAATAAGGTAATATATAGAATTGATATTCGATTCTGAAGCTGATTTTAGAATGACCAAAAGGTTAATCGTTCCAAATGCAATAGCCAAGGAAAAGTTAAGGCAGTCGCAGAGAATGTGCGTTATAGTGAGAGTTTGTCCACAACTGCAGATTGGGGAGGAAGTCCTCTTCAAGATCCATTGGCGAGTTGCAATTGTATGACCAAGGCGAATTCTCGAAAATGTTTGGACCTTGGTTTTCTCAACATTTGTTGGGTTAATCAGTAAGGAATTATCCATAAACCAATTCAAAAGTTGTCGTAGACTCTCATAATCTCCTGCAGCACCTTCCAATCGCAACTCTCTCTACAAAATGGGAGAAATATGTCATCCACAAAGAAGTATGGGTTACAAAAATTACTACGCACAAGACCAGGCAGGTCATTAACATACAACATGAAGAGCAAAGGCTACAATACAAAATATTGGAGTACCCCGGCGTATACCCGTCAGGTAGAAGAATGAACTCCATTGATGCGAATAAATCGAGATATCCCAGCTAGTCGGCCTACACGCCAATTTAGAAAAACCAAACTGCCCAGTTAGCTTCATAATAAGTCTCCGGTGATTGACTCTGTTGAATGTCTTCGACAGATCCAAATCTAGCAGCGACGTCATGTGAGAACCATACAACTTTGGAAATAGCCGGCAGCATTGAAATAGGTCTCAAATCATCAGTAGAATGGACAGTTTTAACTTTAGGTATAGGCATCACACCTGCCTTCTTCCAGTTCAAAGGGAAAACCGACTGAGCCAATATGGAATTAACATGGAACATTAACAATTTAACATTATACGAAAATATAAGTTTGATGAAGATAGTAGTAAATCCATCATAACCGATTGATTCACATTTAATTTTATGAAGTACCACATTTAACTCATGGCATGATACATAAGAGAATGAGAGAGCCTCATGGAGATTCAGATTTGTCTAAGGTTTACTATTATTTGGCAGGTCACAATTCGACGCACCTACAAAATGATCATCTACATCGAATCTAAACTGGGAGGCGTCTCCCTTAATGTAATCCGACCTTCTTAACATCCTTCACATAGAAGAAAAGCCCAAACCCACAAACAAGTTGATAATATATTTTCTTCTTTTCTTAGGAATAGTTTTGTTCAAATAGTTTGAGAATGGACCTTAGCATAGCAATGCCCCAGCAATTAGAAATATCCGTTTTACAACCATCCTGGAAAATCGGACAAATAAATGACTTGTTCCACTTCCAGAACTAATCGACACGTTATATAATTTACGTTAATGCTGCATGTAAATTCTCAGCACATCTAGACACATCATTACGGCTTGTATTAAATTTGATATACACGAGTACCATGTTCCCACAACAGTATGAATATCAAGCAAACTAAAAGTTATATTGTCATTGTACGGGAATCTTTTGTTTATATCCAGATTTACATTTGTAACATTGTTACACATGTACGCCGATTGCAAAAACTCAGCAAATAAATTCGGTATCCAGTATTAAGTTAATCACTGGGAGCATTGGATTTTAAATTGGACGCCTTTGCAAGATCTCTACGACCAAATTGTGATTATTTAATAATCTTCTTATATCAATTAAAATCATCAAAAAATATTGGAGCTCTACGTGCTTTCCACTTTGTTTAAGGCCAAAAATCCAAAGTCACACAATAATTAAAAATATATTCAAAAATTATGGTAACCATCACAAAATTATTTTTCATCGAATATTGCAGCTAGTCTATTGATCTTTACATATAAAATAAACTAAATGATAAAACCATACAATCGAGTTTTTAAAATCATTTTGTATCGAAAGCATGTTATTACGTTAGCAAATTTTGTGTCGTGATGTATCAAAACCCTATTTAACAAGTACCGTGTCAAGCGGAACGGACTTGTATCTGATTTTCTACTAACAACCCGTAGCTCCAAATACAAGCCATTAGCTTGACACCAAAACCATTTGATTTTGTTTTCGATAATGAGGATTTGCCGCATATAGCATCTGATTATTTGAAGTTTGGTTAAGATACTATCCACGGTCAATTTTTGCGATTTAAACATTTGGTGTCCCTGGACATTGTGGCTCTTTGGAAAGTAATTTTCTTTAAAATAATAAGAACTATATTCTTACCACCGAAACAACTCTTAGAATACTAAAAAATTCTTTTAAGCTAACAGGTTAGAGTTATTATTAACAAACTGTGTTAAAGGAATAACATCACTTTGTGTTCACTCGATACATGCTTAAAAGTTTACTTTAAAAAAATGCAGCTTACTAACATATGGGTTACTGCATTTTTAAAAGCACAAATCTTACGGTACACTACTGCTTTCTAGATTTTTAGAAACAAAATAGAGGCGTGGCTTCTTTAGAAAAACAATGACCGCCTTGCGAGAATTGCGAATCCTCGAATTTTTCGAAAAATTGCGCTTAAAAAGTAGCGTCGATGTTTTCTTTTTTAAAAGGTTCTAAAATCGCCAAGAAAGCCCGCAAAAGTTAAGCTATTGAAAAAATCGTCGAGCTTCAATAGAGATTTCTACTGTAAAGCTGCAAATAAGATCAAAAGAACAAATATTAATGGAGCCATCAATACGGCAGTGGCAAAAACATGGAAAAAAAGTTCTTAAATTCAGGTTTGAAAAAGGTTTTGTTTTCTCTAAACTACGAGGCCTGCACCTTATAATCCACTTATTAGTTTTCTATAAGTGGCAGAATTATGCTAAAATTCTTTGCACCAATAATTGCTCCTTTTACCTGTCAGATTATCCAATACGATCGAAAAAATTGTAATGGATGTTTTCGACTACCTAAGGTTTCCCATTGCTCCCTCTATTTTGAACGCTTTCTTAAAACTTATATGTTCGATATTATCTTCTTGCCTTTCTTACATTCTTCACAAGAAATCTTTTTTATAATGTTTAAAACGTTTCTTCCGAAACTGTGTGATTCGTTTAACCTACATATAAACAATCATCAATAAGTTGAAGAACTCTCCGCAAATAGTTGATATCAAGAGATTAGTACGAGATCGAATATAAATCTGACTTATTGTGTACATAAAGTAGGAATCAACAACTTTTAAGCTAAATCAAATTGTTTCTCTACTTTGTGTAATTAATCCTATAGAATATAATCCGGTATGGCGAACTTGTTGAAGAAATTTACGGGACTTCTGTTGTCTTGCTAAGGTACGCTGCAACGACGCAACATTCTTGAAACAAAGGGGTATAGTCAAATAAGATTTGACAATGTGCAAAGTTAGCCCTGTATATTATAGGTTACTGAAATCCCAAATATGATAATGCATTAGTGTGATGCGAAAGTGGGAACGAATTGTGTATTTGAAGACTCCATTTGTAAACACCATCGATATACCGGAGTAATTGAATACGTGCTGAAAGTGGAATAATGTGTCTGTACTCCCATTAATAAAAGACGAAGAATGTCTACTCGGAAATGACACATGTGAATTTCGGCTGCATTGATTGCCAAAATAGTATATAAAATGAATTTCAAAATATTTAAGTAAGCGTGGTATATTATATATATCGTATCCGGAACTTAAATTAATGTCATATAAAAGTAAATCCTGTGTTATGTATTAGATATGGAATATTCAGATTATAAGTATAGCATACGATTACATATAACTTCTGGCGCTCAGCTAGCAGAGGAATATTGCATTTCAATAGAAATCATCAGGCGATTGCGATGTTTAAGTATTTCTCGCGTAATATTGAAACTTTGCATTGAGTAAAAATAAACTTGTGTTAAGGTGGTTTATGCCGGTTTCCGTTGATTAATGTACACGGAACGATGCGTTACTTTTCTATGTTAGGAATACAAGGAAAATTATATCATGTTTCACAAAATAAAAATATTTGCAGTTATGGACTTATGCGAACGGTAGTCGCTTGGTGCCTGTTATCAAAACTTGTACGTATACGTAACAAGACAGCAAATTGTACCTAACGTATGTATGTATTTTGGCTTATTTTACTCACACTTGAAAATGAGCAAACAGTTCAATTAACAATAACTTTGTTGAAATATTCATCGCTCATAGATAATTCCAATATCACCTAAAGGTAAACACCAATTGTCAAATTACGCCTGTATTTTTTTTTTTTTTTTTGATTACAAAATAAGTGATTAGAGAGCGTGAAACTATATCACAATTTGACAAATTTGAAGCGCACTATTATCATATTTTTAATTTACGATTCGCGTAGTTAGTTAAAGTTGATATCTGGACATATAAGCCACAAATCTATTGGCTTAGTCCATCTCCATTCGACATACCAAAAAAAAAAAAAAGTTGATATGTGAAGGATGCACTATTTTCTAAAAATACATGTACCTTTTCAAGAAATAGAACACATATGTGGAATGGATGAGCCATGTTGAGATATCAAAAATTTAAATTGTTAAAATGAAAAAGAGACAAAAAGTAGAATTATTAATTTCTTAGTTAAACTCACTTTGTTTACTCTACTTTTAACAACAATACATATTTTGACTTTCTCTCATTTTCCTCTTTATTACAATTTTAAAAATCACGCTGTAAAAAACGTAATCCAAAACAATGACCAAGCTATCAAATTAGTCTAAGAGCCCGAAATTAGTTAAGCACACGTATAATTTGTTAATATAGAAATTAAGAAATTCTCGCAGTTCTTTAAATTACACCTTTTTTCTTTAATTTATAGATCGTGCTTAAGATGTGCCGTTTTTGTAACACAAAAACACAAAAATAGTTTACAAAATGGCTGCCCCTAACATGTATACAAATTAATCATGTTGCCAAATTTTTATAATTTTAGAGCGCAGAAAATTCCTTAAGGATTGCCAAGCTAAATTACGTTTTCCGGAATAGGTATAAAACTTTGCCAACTTTTTACAATGAGTTGTAGGAATTTGTAGATTAGAAGCAGTGACATATTGAAACTTCACTTCGTTTTTGGGTCTGTAAATAAAAATAGCACAAACGGAAAATAATGTAAGCGGACTCATTGAAGCGGCGCATCTCCAGAAATGGTTCAAGTTCTTACAATGAGGTCTATGAGGGATTTGGAAAATCATATGGTGGTGTATGTACACGTAGAAATTAAACAAGAGGAAGAAAAATGTAGGAGAACAAATAGGAAAACTTATTTCAAATTTGTAAGTTGTTTATCTCATATTATATATCATATTCCGTTGGTTTAACCCCTTTTGCTTATTATATTGTGTGCAATTTCAATTTTTACCATGCATTATTTTAAAGAAAATTTAAGAAGGCAATAAAAACGATAAATTTTCGATATAAACTGCATTTGCTAAAGTGTTTTTGAAAGGTCATAAACTACATTTTCATTCTTGCTTCTATTATTCAACTTCAAAATGATTATTACTATATATAAACATGTTTATTTTCTCTTCTAAAATAATGTTGCAGGGCAAACAAATGCAGCTTTCATTGCGTCAACTATTTGTTTACTTAATTTGTGACAATATAAGCGAAACTTCATTGTGTTTCAGCCATATGGTTCGGAGAGTCGAAATAAGAAAATTAATATAAAACATTCTTTGACCTTATTAATTTCTCAAAATTCTAATTTAGATTGTGTGTCTAACAAAAATTAGTCTTAAATAGTCATTTTTACAACAGATTTTCATTATAATAACTTCCGAATAACTATACTGTCAAGGTATTGTGTAGTGGTAAGGATTTCTGACTAAGAATCTTTTCTCATTAAAGATTTTGCTTGAATCGACCCAAAACTTCAATATGTCCTGTTCTTTATTGAAGTTATCAAGACTTACGAGTTTTACTTGAAATAAATAACACATGAGTTATACAATTGTGAACAGCATAAATGGGGAATAGACGTCAGAACCTGAAATTTCTAATTTCATGTGCAATAACTTGCATAACCTAACGAATACAATTCCCACACTTAAGAAAGCAATCAAGCACCATGTGATTAAAACTTCAAGCTTGATTGTGTTATCTTCCTAAATGCCATCGGCTTTATTATATAATGTATCCGGCAAGGGGGAGTTATATAACATTTTCTTTAAAGAAAATAAGAAAGAAAAGAAAGATCGAAAGTTAATTTTTAATTTCCTATATATACTATTTTGTATTTTGATTCCTGTTATTTTGATTATACGCTAAATGGTTACATTATATCGTAGGTTAGGTTAAAAATTTTGTTATGAAAACCTGATATTCGGTAGAAAAATTGGAGTTAAAGTAGAATAATTTCCTTAACATATAATTGGATAGGTGAGAATAAGAAAATTTGTCTATATGTAAACAGCTACGTTGGGATTTGATATGTTAATAATAAAGAATATCAACATGAATATAAATCACCAATATATGAAAAACAACAATAGCAAAATAAATGTAAAAATGAATAAAGCTTTTGAATAACAAGTTTATCAAAGTAAATCAATTGCTTGAATTTAAAAATATCTGGTTGTAAAACCATGATAAATGTTACAAAACTATGAGAATGGACCCATGTACTTTTGATTTGCTGCTGAAGAGTAACTTGCGTGAGTAAATTCCCAGTAGTAAGGAATAGAAATAAGAAACTAAAGGAACACGCGTTTTTTGTCCTGAGAAGAAATCACTATTACAATCGCCCCTAACGATAATTAATAACGCATATTCCGCATTACGTTGGTGATATCACAAATTCCATGAGATGCAAACATTTACGTACTTTTCGTTTGTCATTTATCAATTCAATCAAAAAAAGGTATATCATCCAACAAAAGAAATCCTTTTTATGGAAAAATTCCATCTCTTCTATATTCGTGTAAATTTATTGTTATTTAGTGCAAGAAAGTTTGTACGTGTTCGCCTTTTTGCTTAATTTGTTAACATGTTATATGTAATCGATATGATTTGCTAATTTACGTAAAGCTTTGAATAAAATTAAGAACTTTTTCATCCAGAGCGTCTTCGTCGTATTCGTATTCATTGCTTTCAATCTATTCATCTTTAATTCTTATACCTGGCAATCAAGCCCCGCTTCATTGTGGGTTCTCTTAAGATGTTGCAATAGCATAATTAAACGCCGACTGGTTTGAGTGTTTGCGTATATGCATGCATCTATGCGTCTGCATGAAAAACAATCATTTATATTCGGGTATAATTTTTGATGATGCCGGGGACAACGAAATATACCAATAGTCCGACATTTTTTTCAAAAGTTCAAACTAGAAGATTAGTGCGGCCTTCTTGTGTATCTATTATGAGTAACAGTTGCAACGCCTTAATTACTAGCAATTTGACAACTTGCTCTCTCATCCTCATGATTTGTGTGGGCACAGATTCTATTAATGGTTTCCTAATATGACGTCGTATTCTTTCAAGCGTTTGCAAAGCGGAAGCATAAAGAATTCTGCATTTTTAAGTGAATATGCATCACGATGTACATATAAGTATGTATGTTCGAAAAAACCCAAGAGAATATATGTGTCACATGATTTCTTTTCATCGTTTATTTGCCATTGAAGAATTACAAATTTTATGTTTGCCAAATACTTACACAAATTTTAATGAAAATTTTCATATTAAGAAATTTAAAGACATTTTTTACTATTAAATAAGCTATGTAGTAATTTATTATATGTATTTTTATTTAATTTGCTTATTACTTATACATGTAGTAATTTTGTTGGGTTACACATGTATTTGACATATGATATCTAACTTTCTATTTATATTGTACAATTATTATACTATTTATATTCTACAATAATGGTTATGTTTTTGAATTAAATATTATGTGGTCCTCAAAATAACTATAATATAATTCCTACATTTAAATGAAGGTCTTTAAAAAACGGAATTTTCTAATTTTTTAATCTGTTGCCAACATATGGTTTTAAAAAAATTAAAAAAGAATTTATAAATTGTCATCACAAAAGAAAAGATTGAAAATAATATGCATTCGCTGCTATTTTCAAGGGTCTTCTCATTTAAAATATATCATATATACTCTTAAGTAAAGTAAGGCAAGTACATATAAATTGCTTGGCGCCATGCATTAAATAAGAGTTGAATATTTATATATAAAAAACAAGAAAATTTCTGTAAAATGAAGAATTAGGCCGAAAACATAAGAATTGTTAAACATTAATTGTAGGAAACCCAAAAGAAAAAATGTAGTCAGCAAAATTTGAGATACAAAATTAGATATTTTCAATTTCCAAAAAATGATGAAATGAAGCAAAAATGGCTAGAAAATATCCGCTGGAACGCAAAAGTCCTGCTGAAGTCCTTACACCACGTATTCATTTCGAAGAGGGATATCTTACAACACGCTAGCTAAAGTTTAAAGTTTTGCCTAGGTTTATGTATTCAAAGAAAAGATTTTCGCAATCTCTCTACTTAATTCGAGAGGGAAGTGTGGTCCATAGAAGCGTGGGTCCCTTTGAGAAAAAAAACCGACAATGCTGCGTACGAAATTGCTGGCCTGACTCGGTATAAGGTTATTTTATTTTTCGAGGGGCGAAGACGGAAGAAAGACTTGCTTAGATATTTGCAAGTTGAACAATGAAAATAAGCACTACGAAAACAATTTCGAAGCGGATAGTGTTGGACCAGTAAAAATCAAAATACAAGCGACACCAACAATACAAATGATTATAAAAGATGTGACGTGCAAAATCAACGAAACCTCATTTTGCCATCCACATGGATTTAACATTATAATAATATATACACTGGCCTAGCTCCTTCGCGGTAGAGCCTTGCGAAATTTCTACGACTTGCCGTATGACAAAAATAAAAAAATAAAGTAATGTTTCATTTTTTAATGTGTTCGCGCGGTTCGACTAGGCGCACGATTAAATTCGTCTGTGAGGCCCGTTGTCTGCACTGTTCGCGGTTCGTTGGTCCTTTCCTAGTCCGTCAGTGCATATTCCCTGTCCCCTAACCTCGCCCGCACGCACACTCACCCATACTCCGCCGCAGCAGCACCTATAATGCTTACTTTCCTTTTTTTTGTTTATATTTATATTATGTGCGTTATGGAGTGTAAAGATTGCGTTATACTCTTAAAGTCTTTTTTAAACATATATATTTTTATCATATTATTATTGTTTTTTCCTTCTCTTTTTTTTCGTTATTTACATATATATTTGACCACAACTAAAAAGAAGAAAAATAAAAATTAAAACAATGACTTATCTCACGCTTCAACATAGAGATATGAAGCTGGCTATTCGGCTGGCGGACTACAGTAAGGCAAAAATTGGATGTTCGTTTCCGCCATCGGTGCAGCTCTCCTCCTCTTATCTGGAACGCACAAATCGGACCACAAATTAGTTATAGTAGGCAGGTGTAAATTAGTCAAACCTCTGCACTCGTTAGCGTTCTACATTCTATTTGTATTTCTTGCTCCTAACACGATTATTATTGTGGTGGCGATGATGTTTATGACTAATGTTACAACAGTTTTATCTGCTATTTGCACCCTCGTGTACGTTAAGTGAGCGATTGGTGCAGTGAATTGCCGTTGAGAGTTGTTTGCCATGAAGTGTGTCATGGTGACGTAAGCGTCGCACACGGTGTAAATGAAATGGTGCCACATTTACTTTTCCCTTTTGTTTTTGCAGATTTCCCTGTTTTTTTCTTTCCCAATGCACACAAGCAGGCGCCAATTAATTTCCCTCAAAAATTGTTCAATTTTTTTGTTTTTTTTTTCTAAAATAAATTTCTGAAA